AATACATGAAATTAAATATTACTAATAGGGAGGTTCATGACAGTAAATGTTTATATTAAATATAAAGATGTAAGGAACCAACTTAATGATGTACATCAAATGCCTAGAACATCTAGAACAAACTAAAACAAAAATAAAAAGAAGAAAACAAATAATGTTTTAAGCAGAAATAAACAAGTTTCAGGAGAAAAGGCAATTCAGAATAATGATAAAATGAAAAGTAGGTTTTTAAAAAGATACACAAAGTTGACAAACCTTTAGTTAGAATAACCAAATAACAGAAAAGTCTGAAATGTATAATTTAGAAATAAAAGAGAAGACATTTATAATTGATACCTCAGAAATACAGTGGATTATAAAAACTTATTATAAATTATATGCTAAAAGTTGTAAAACCTAGAAGAAATAGATTAATTCCTGAACACACACAAGCTACCAAGATTGATTTAATAACAAATGAAAAACTATAACAGATTAATAGTGAATGATATGAATGAAGCATAATCAAAAGTGTTCCATAAAATAATTCAAGACACTATTTCTTACTGGTGAATTCCACAGGATATTTCAAGAATGTATGCCAAAACTAACACTTTCTGGATTTTTCAGCAATGCTGAAAGATTTCAAATATTGGTGACTCTTAAAGATGGATTAAATACATTTTCATAATGAGATGGACATAAATCATTTGGAAGTCAGAGGTGGAATTTTATGATTACATCATCTCTTATATGTTTTCTAGGTGATCGAACCATGGAAATCCTGTACTCCAGGGTGGATTTATCATTGATGTGTACAGTTGTTGAGTGTGCTGCTGGAGGTGGGGCCTGGATGAAGACGGGTCACTAGAGACTTGAACTTAATGGTTGTAGCATTGTTCCTGGCTCTTTCTTCTTCCTGTGCTTCCTGGATGGCATCATGTGAGCAGCTTTACTCATCCATTCCTCTTGGCCATTCTGTTTCTGCCTGGAGCTACCCACCCATAGAATAAAACATGATCCAAAATATATCTCTTTCCCTTTAAATTATAGGTGCAAGTATTTTGCCCCAGTGATGAGAACAGTAACTAAGACAATAGAGGCCATGAAAAAGTGGGATATATACCAGCAATTCCAGAATATTTCAATATGTTTGTATCAATAAATGTAATACACAGTCTTAACAGAACAAACACGGAACCACATGATCCTCTCAGTACTCATAGACAAACATTCCATAAAATTAAAAATCCCTTTTTGGCTAAAAAATTTCTCAACACATTATACATACAAGGAATATACCTTAACACAGTAAGGGCTATATATGACAAATCCAGTCAACAGTTTCCTAAACAAGGGAAAGGTAAAAATAGTCATTTTATTATCTGGATCAAGACAAAGATTCTCCTTTTTCTATATGCCACTCTTATTAAAATAGTATGCAAAGTCTTAGGAAGAGCAATTAAGCAATAAAGACAAATAAAGTATATTTAAATTAATTTAGTCAAATGACACCTTATTTCAGAAAACATGTTTTTATGAACACAAAAATTGAAAGACACACTGAAAAATCCAAATATAAATCAGTTTATTAACAATAAAATTATTTTGTT